TTGAGGCATCTTATATACACGTTCCTATAAAATCGTTTCACAGAGTTGCGCGAGAATTACATTTCCCTCTCAAACACTCACGAAAATTACACTCGAATACACGCGTCAATACGTCGTACACGGAGGTGTATCATCGAACAATTGCACTTCCCCCAACAAACGTTCTCTCGAATTGATCGCGAGGAACAGTGACGCGGAGAGAAACGTCATTGCAGTTGGGATCGTCACCTCTGCGCAGGAAATTATTAGGGACAATTGAAACCGGTCGAGGAATGAAACACGCTCGTGTTTCCCCGACGCGAGCCAAGAAATTAGTCGCGTTACCGACGAGATGAATCATCTCCCGGCGAGATACATACATTGTCGATTGCGAACTACGTGCGTATTGCGTCACGCACAACGCGGAAGCTTTTCCGAGGAAACCGATCGTCTATTTTTAATTCATCTGATATCCACGTATCTACTTGGAGTATTTCCAACTCTGTCATTTCGGATCGTATTTCCGATGCTCCTTTCGATAGTCAAATTCCGCTCTTTCCTCCAAACGTTCGAATTTTTCCGTGCATCGAATTTTCTGTATCGCGGCATTTTTTTCTCGTGTCGAAGTCATTTTTGTTGATTTGAAGTTACGCTCGACGGGATTCACAGAATTATATTCATCGGCGCGAGTTACGCAATTACGTCGGTTTTATTAATTTTTTTTTTTTTTAATCGTTGTTAAGCGCGACAAAACGACAGACGCGGGGGCGACGCACCCGCGCGAGATACGGCAGTGAGCCAGTCCCGCCGGCTATCGCTTGAATGTGTGTGTGTGTGTGTTATACGCGCACGCGGCGCGAATGGCAAAAAGACATTCCGTCGACCATTTAAACCACCACCACGACGAGATCCCACGCATGACCGCGATCAATGTGTAGTAGTGAGCGAGAGAGACCGGCCGGCCGGCGCGGCGGGCCGGTTGTGAGCCGGCCGGCATCGAGGCTGACGTCACGGATATACGCGACCTTCGAGTTCCCGCGCGTTTAGTCGCACATGCTCCCGACAATCGCGCGAAAGGAACTTCGCGCTCCGAGAGACCGATGAATTCGAAGAAGCGGAGCTGTGTGACAAGCACAGACCGAGAGAAGCTCTTTGGACTCGATTGCTCGCGATTTCGCGCGAAGAGTTTAGCCAATTCGCGAAAATTACGCCTCAACGTAGTTCGAATTTACCTGAAATGTTTTCACTGACCCGATCAACGGGCAAATCGGTCGCTTATAAATCGAGTAATGGTCAAGGTCAGTTCTTCGGTGTGCGTCCGGTCACACGCGCCTCGTATCGTGTTCGTCTTGGCCCGTTATTGCTCCGCACGGCGGATCTATTAAATCGTTGGCAGCGAGGAGGAAGCGGCACTCTTTCAAAGAATCGTTTCATCTCACTGTGTCTCTTGAATCGTTCGTAAAACCCACTTGTCGCGTTTCGAACTTCTCTACTGTAACGATGCTGGCGCGCGACTGGCAACGATATTCGGTGTTCCTACCCGCTCAGGTCTTTCGAAAAGTGTGTTTGTTGTTTCACCTTTCGACCGTCTCGCGGATTGAAAATATGAAAAGTAAGTTTTGAAAACAAAAATGTACGTTGGCAATTGGTTATTTGTTTCGATTTTCAAACAGGTAGAGAGAGAGAAAAAAAAGAGACAGAAAGAGAAACTCGTTTTTTACATCCGCGCTTCGCGTTTAACGCTTTAAAAATTATCATCTGTCATTATGCGTATGGCTTACATGTATGTATAGTCATTGAGTTACGTAAGTTGCGCTTCTCCTCCGCGGAAAATCTCTATTCTCTGAAGTTGCATAATTATGGAGTTTCGCGGTATAACACGACGGCGCCTGTCCTACGTGCGCGAGGAAAATTTGCGCGAGGGGGAAATTCGCGTCTCAGAAACACGCGGACAAGCGTGAATTGTTATGCGATAATGACGTCGCTCCGATACCTCGTTTTTGAAATTTATGCGTTCCGCACACACACACACACACACAAACAATGAGCGCTCTTTGTCGCGCGCGAGCGGCTAACTGTAGCGAACTGAAGTTTTTCAACTCTTATTTTTTACTCTTATCACTAGCAGAAATCTTGAATATCATTCAGAGACTTGCTAAATGTTCGTTTGCAATTCGAAATCGACACGACAATTTTGTTGGCGATGTGCAAATCGACCGATAACCTCCCCGACCTCGACACAATTTTGCTCGCGATGCGCGTGAATCGAGAAAGAGAGAGAGAGAGAGAGAGAGTTACGTATGTTTTTAACGGTACAGGCTTTGCGATTGAGGCTGCAGCACGATCTCTATCAACTCTATTCCTACATACACACGTCGATGGTAATCGGTAATCATTGGCGTCGTTGAGAAAGAAAAAAACAACATACACCGAGAGGGACTCTGGCAATTAAATCGCATTTATAGTCGCGCTGTGAGAGAAGCTTCCTCGCCAATATTGACTTGCGAATGACGACGCGGTGCAAATCGGAGTTCTTTGAAAGAGCGAGATGTATGTACGAGTGCGCTCGATATTTTACCTGTTGTAGACATTACGGATTATGCGCAGCATAAAAAAAAAAAAAAAAAACAAATCTACCCTTTAGCGAGGGACTGCGAGCGTGACGAGGCGCGCGAACATGCACATACGCGCACCGGACACACACACTTGCATACAATGAATTGTTCAGCAATAAAAGTGCATTTTGCAAAAATATACTTTAAGGATAATACACATAGCAAATATCCATCGAGTCCTAGAAATGCTATCAAACGCCTTCGGTATGTTAATTCATAGAACATTTATGCAGCAGAGTTAGCACACAGCATTTACAAGTTAAACAGATTTTAAGATCGCCTGAAAAGACAGAAAATGAAACCCTTGAAAGGTTCACATGCACGCATCATCCAGGTAAATAAATTGCATTTGCACGAAACATTTGCACGCAAAACAGCATATTAAACAGCATAAAATGTGTTATTATTTACAGATAGAGATAAGTAAATTATTAGATTTTTGTTAGTAATTAGTAATTGCAATAAATGCTTGTTAGTAGGCAGTAACACTTCAATACAAATTTTCACATTGATAAAAGCGCAATGGAAATACTTCATACCGTTTAATGACGTTCTCCCGTTTCAAATCAAATATCATGAAATTTGGACTCGGACTTTGTCACACATTTTTAAGAAATTATACTATTCTCGCTTAACTTTATACCTTTTGTACGTTTCCTTTTTTTTGAAGGTTGGCTAGCACCCATTGAACTGCTTGGATTATAATATGTATACGTTGTAGCTGATTCTGAATTTGAAATAGTTGCACTCGCTGAGGGATAGTTACTTTCCAATGTTCGATTGTAAATTGTAGCCGATTCTGAATTTGAAATAGTCGTACTCGTTGAGGGATAGTTACTTTCCAATGTTTGATTGTAAATTGTAGCCGATTCTGAATTTGAAATAGTTGCACTCGTTGAGGGGTTTCTTTCCAATGTTTGATCGTAAGTTGTAGCCGATGAATTTGAACTAAGAATCGCACTCAGTGAGAAATCGATTTTTTCCGATTTTTTTTTTTTCGACGTTGATGCGGTTGCTTGATCTGTGACGGATTTTTACAATTTTACATACTACATTTAGGCTGCGTTCGGGGAGTGCGCTGTCAGCGCTGTTGCATCATTCTATTTTTATTGCTTATTAGATGAAAACCAAAGATAGAATGACGCAATAGCGCTAATAGCGCGCTCCCCGAACGCAGCCTTAATAATATTCTCCCGTTTAATATTAAATATCATGAAATTCGGACTCGAACGTTATTATTTTTGAAAAATCATTAGACTTACCGGTATGAATGGTTGTCTGAAGAACATTCTTGGTCAATAATTTGGAATATTTCATTTCCCTCGTCGAATATTTATGTTGTTCAGCTGCGATTAATTTTATAATTTTACATTTTAGAATTACATTACAATTACATTTTATAATGTTTTTTTTATATATTTATTTATTTTTATTTAGTTTTGCAGACTTGTCTTTTTATTTTGTTTTCTTTTATGTTTTTTATTTTATTTTTTACTAATAATTTACTTCTAAGATTGTTGAAATGTGAATAAAAAGTGAGCAAGCGTAACAAAAAAAACAGTGAATTGCAAGCATTATTCATTCACAGCATGATGAGGAATTGCAAGCATTACTCTTTTATAGCATGATGAGGAATTGCAAGCACTACTGCTTTTTACAATCCTTCTTACAACAAACCTCGATAACTCGAATCTCAGGGGAAGAACTAAAATCTTTGAGTTGCAGAGATTTTGACTTATCCAAGTTTCTTCTTCCTTTCCGCGGAGCGGAAAAAAATGGACAAAATTTTCGTTTTATAGAGGTTTTCTAGTTATAGATGTTTGAGTTATCGAAGTTTGACCGTACATCATAGCTAGTAATAGAAATTTTTTATCAAGCCAACACCGAAAAAATTGTATTCTTATTTTGAGGATATCCTACTTACTTTAAGTATATTTTATACTAAAATAGGCGCCAAGAAGAGTTTCTTATTTTAAGAGGAAAATCCTCTAAATAGTAATATTGATAAGAATATATACTGATTAGAATATAAAAAGCCTCTATAGAAAAACATATATATCTCACTATCGAAAAAGTCTATATTTTTAACTTAAGAATATATTCTTAAATAAAGAATATATTCTTAATTTCAGAAGAATATCATCTAAAATCTTTAAAAAGATTTTTTAAGTATAAAATTTTCTACTTATAAGAATATAATTTTTTCGGTGAAAGTAATGTACGTAAAATAATTGTGCGCGATTAAATTTCACACTCACTACATCTTATGTGTCGCAAAAGTAAATTTCAAACAGAGCGGATGTGTATACAAAAACTCTTCGGTATATCTCTCAGAAAAAACACGTGAAAAAAAAATTTTCATATAAAACACAGTACCACAAAAGTTTAGAGATCATCAATACTCACCCGATTGAGATGAAAACGATGAATCTGTATTCGAGATGATGTATGGAGATGGATTTGGTGATGAATAAGTATGGTCGTTCTCGACGTCCCGTTTGAACTGCTCGTTCCTTTCGTCCGAATCGGAATCCAAATTGTTGCTGCGGGAATTGCTTTCCAATTTGTCAGATTTTCTTATTGAGGGAGATACATACGCTGGATTTTTCAGTCTTTCTTTTTGATCTATTATCGATGAAATATTTTTACAATTATTGATCGCTTGTATTGTCGAATGATTATTTGCATGATTTTCTTTATTTGAGTCCTGGAGACAAAAACTCATATCTTGTTCTATTGATCGACAAGGCTCTTCTGTAGGAGGCATTTGAAACAATTCAGCTAGAATAGCATCAGCATTTTTATAACGATATCCAAGATATGGATCTTCTCTATCGTTTATTAATGCATTCGAATAATTGATCTCCTTATTCGACGGGGAAAGCGCTAAAGAGGCATTTTCAAGCCACATATCTGCAAACATAAAAAAGAAAAATTCAAAGTTTATTTTACAATATTTTCATATCAAAATTGTTTTGTTCAGCTCTCAAATTAAAAATTAGTAAAATAAAGCGATAATTGCTGTACGCATACATACATACATGTTTTTAAAAATTAAAAACTTTGTATTTTGTGTATTTACAAATAAATCTCAATAATATACTTTTTGTCTGTAACATTATATGTGTGTGTATAATCTTTTTGAAATTACACGTTTAAAGAATAATCTATCTATCTATCTAATTAAAATTCACAAACAAGACAGAAATTGAATATATGTCTACTTTTGATCAATCGTTATTTTGGAAAATTATACAAATAAGCCAAACCACTTATGTTTGACAAAAACATTAGGAGGCGATGCATGCATATAAAAATGGTCTCGTATTAAAATTATCTAGGATCCCAATACAAACTAGTGTATTAGCGTTTTTTTTGTTTTAGATAAATTGAAGTTAAATGTCGAAAATATCAAGAAAAAATGAATTTATATTACTTTCAAAAATATTGTTGTTTAATGAAAGAATTAGTTTTTTTGCTTTTTCTAGCGAGTTTTTTTATCTTCGTTGTGTATATACGCACAATTTGGAAAATATATTGTCTGTTTTGTAAAGAAAAAAGTTTAAAGTAACACCGACGTGAAAGATCATCTCAAGTATTTGGCCTTGAAAAATGAAAAAAAAAGAAACGTGTTTCTCGACTCGGCAAGGAAAAAACATCTAAAGTTGCGTTCACGCAAGCACGTCGACAACAAATGTTCGCAAGCTTATTAACAGATGAAACTGCAAAGGTGCTGGTACTATTTTTTTTGTAAATATTGAAATTACTTTCAAAACAACAAATAAAAACTCTTATATGTAAAAATAATGCATAACAGTCTCTCTGTCTCTTTAATCCGTGGCATTTGTGCTGCTGATCGTAGTTTACGTATAAATAGTCAGGTCAGTCACACATACAGCGCTAAAGAGGTCAATGTTAGCGTTCTAGAAGTAGATTAGTTTGATAAATTTAGCGAATATCTTGTGTAAATTAAAACAACAATTCCAAAGAGATTATTTAACTTTTTGCCAAATTCTTTCTTTTTTTTAATTAGTAAATTATTTTTGCGTTAGAACAATTTCTGTATAAACAAACTAAATCGAGTAAGACACGCTTATTTAAGTAATTTATATCATGTACATTGTTCAATGTGTCTTTTTATGTAAAGAGTTAACAGAGAAAATATTAAAAGTGTTTACACATCATTACGTTTAGTAATCCTTCACTGACAGACATAGTTTTCTCAGACCACCTCAAAAAGTGCGCATCGGCGTTTCTAGTAAAAATCTGTTTTTTTTTTTCACCGCTTATATCTTCGTAATTACTAGAGATTTTTTAAGTTTTTTGTATCGAAAGTTTTTTATTGCAGAATCTTTTAAATTTTTGATTAAAGAAAAATAAAATTGAAAAAATATTAAGTTTTTACAAAGATATTTGATTTTAAAGTCGCGTGGATCTCACAGACTCCTAGTTTTTCCGACTCGTAGATCATTTTTGAGATCTGTCCGTGAAAAGTTAAATTTATTGAGAGAGAGAGAGAGAGAGAGAGAGAGAGAGAGAGAGAGAGAGAGAGAGAGAGAAGAAAGAGAGAGTGAGAGTTCTTGATATATATTTTTACAACTACCGGAATTTATGCACGTGTGCACGAACTGAAGAATGTCGCGGCTATCACACAATCCCCCTTCTCTTTAGGAAAAGCAATTTCACCAACGGCAATTACACCGATCGTTATGTGTCCAAACCGGACGCGCTGTGCGCAGACACGCCGAGCGAAATTGTTCGAACAATTTGATAAAGACCAGATCCGCGTTTTCGTTTGGACTTTCGAAAATGTAGATACACAACGCGCGACACGCAATCGCGATCGACGCTCTGCGATCAAGCTTCTTTTGCTACCTACACATCACAAATCGCGAGAAACCGGTCCAAGTTTAGATTAGCAGAGATATTATTATGCACGCCCGGCTCTTACATTATAAACTATCACTCGATCGTGTGTGCAACGAGCTGATAATTTTTCCATCGGGAAAGACGCTAATTAAGAACGAGCCGATACGAAACGATCAAAACAACGAAAACTCGCAAACCCGGCAGTGTTTCGTCGGGCAAAAATTCGCTCGCTTTTTACCGATGATTGATGAAAGCGTAGGAACACACACGCCAAGTACGCACGATAGTTTTTTTTATCGCTCGGTCCAGTCTTATCGCGCCGACGAACCGACACGCCGCCATCGTGTTTGTGCCGTTACGACGGTCGCATCAAGTTGAAAAATTGCGAAGACAAATTTATAAGATACTCTTTTGTGTACAAAAAAAGTTAAACAAAGTTAAAATCACGGAATGCAAAAGATCCAAGTTCGACGTCTGATCAACGTGTCTTCTTCTCGATAAAGTTTTTAATTTCCAAAGGGAAGTAAACTGCATATCTTACATGTATGCGTCTAAAGTGACTTTTCGAATTAACCCTCTATGGGCCGAATTTTCTATCTGCAGACAACTTGCAAGATATTTATTTTGCATTTCAGGTTGATGCCAACCGTCATCAATATTGTTATTAGTTATTTCAGAGGCATTATATAATTAAGACGTATACATCATCTTGTGAAAAAAAACTAAAACTATTTGGTAAAATGTGGATATATTAGCTTGTGACTTGAAAGTTACATGGGCCTATAGAGGGTTAAATTTAATTTAAATATTATTTTCATGTATTTACATTTTAAGGGAAATAAGTAAATATATTTAACAATTGCACGTACATCGGCTCGCACCGACTTTAATACTTATTGTTAGTCAAAAACATTCAACTTTTTGTGCTCACAAAAAAATTTTCAATATTACAGATCAAAAAACAAAGTAAATGTGTGTGTATACAAAAATAAATATTTCGTGCGTAAATATTTCTTTGTTTATAAATTTTATAAATTAGTTAAAAATGAAAACTTATAAACGAATCTAGGAAGGCAAGAGAGAAGAAAAACTGAAAGAGAAGATGGAGGAAAAGGAATTAACTTATTTTTCAATACTTTTCATATTGTATACCTTTGAAGGAATTTGTGGGAAAGAGTAACAGGTAGAGGGCAAAGAATAGAAACCAGAAGGATAGTCAGGCAAGAGAAGTAAAATGGCAAAACGAACCGTTATACTGTATTTTTTATAAAATTAGCGCCAAATTTTGTAGCAATATAGTGAAAATACATTCATACGCAAATCATCCAGTATATTGCCTCGTTCTGTTTTCTGTTCACTTATTTGAAAATTTCAAGCATATTTTCTCTTATTCATTTTTCTACTTGCTCAATTTTTTTCAACGGTATTGTCACGATATCACACTCGTCGTCTTTCACATCCGTGTACTCACATATATATTTGGTCAGTTACGCAGATTAATCTCAACACGTGCTAACAGTTATATGCAAATGTAATAAATATGTGTATCTGAATACGTGTGAATAAAAGACAGAAGTAGAGCGAGTGTGACACATTGATTTTGCGAACATATTGGACTTTCTGCCGACACATGGATACTCTACAAATTTGCGTATACATGCGTGATCATTTATAAAGTTACATAATTGTTACAAATATTATGCAAGCATCTCGTTAACGTGAGATCTAATTTATTCGTAAAACGTAAAACATTTCTCGCCGCGATTAAAACGGACGTAAATCGAAGAAAAATCGCAAATGTATTAGAGAAAACGACGCGATTTAATATTTCGCGTATATAGAGCAAAAATTTGCACTATCGCACTGTCTCGCGACTCGTAACGCGGTAAAAAGTACTACACGTGCAAATTGAATTTCTGAACGAACAAATGTCACACGTTTCCATCTCAATTCTTGACGAACTCGACGCGAACATGTTGTCAGCGCGATGTGGGACACATGCCCATGAAAACCGGACGCGAAATCACTCATAAAATTACTTGAAACAGATAGCTGCACATTAATATAGTCGTTCTCGATGATTACAAGTCATTCAGATTCGACAGAGTCAGTTCCGCGCTTCGCCTTACGTGTTGCGGGAGAACAGACAACTTGCGACAGCAACTTGTAGGAAAGAATTTTGAGCGAAGAATTCGCGAGATTGCGACCGCGGTGTTGAAGCAATCTCGATCGTTATTTAAACGGTTGAGAAAAAGAAGTAGAGCGCGTATTTTTCCCATTGGTAGCAAATGTTCGGCGCGTTGACGCGCGCAAACGTCATCGTTGTTGGAGCGCGGGATTCAAGTTTGCACGTTGCACATGCTAATACATACCTACACTCTCGTCAATTTTGCACGACTCTGCGCACGAAGTCTTAAAGATATCTTCATTATTTTTAGTATAAAGCGACTGATAGTAGTCATCTAGTTGCAAATCTCCATAATCTTCCGGAAAACAGGCGTTGTTCTTTTTTGCCATTATTCTCACTTGTGTCTTTAAATTACAACACTAGATCAAGTTTTTAATTTAATTGTCTTTGTACTTATAGTTGTGTACCGAGAACAAATTCTATATACAGCGCGTATATGTTTAATTCACTCGGCCAAAGCGCACTATATCTTGTTGCGATTTGTTTTATTACACGCACACACACACGCGCACACTCGACAGAGTATGTTAATTTTAGAGTCTTGTTTAGCACCGATGCAGAGAGAAGTGTGAGCGGGCGAACGACAAACTCGAAATACAAAACTTGCGAGTACGAAACTAGAAAATGGCATTCTCAGAAAACACTAAAAAAAAAGACTGAGCTCATAAAGATGTGCTCTCTGCTATGTCGACGAAACGACTGACATTTCTGCGGAGCGTAGAGATCCTAACTGTTCTGTACTCTTCCCCACCACTGTCGCAGCGAGCGGGCGTATAGTGTACGTACAGTACCCTGCGCCATACTCCTCGAGTTACCAATACGAGGCGTTGGTTTCAGATTAGTTTTGGTCAGATCATTAATAATGGTCAGATTTTGTATTAGAATTGTGACATCGATTCATGAATGGTCAGCTTACTTTGCAGAAAAATGCGATTGGCTGGAAAACTCTTCCCTACTCTCTTTTTAACTGACAATAGGTCAGTAACTTTATAAGAAAAATCTAGAAATAACTGAGAGGAGAAAGACACAACGTAAAACTATCTTCTTCTTGCGTAAAAATCGATAAAATTACTCAGAGTTAGGTGGCAAATAAGAGATCGCTGCGCTTAGCACACGTCATATCTATTATAAATAGTTTGTTATATCTAGTACATGTATAAACAGTTGGTAACATTTAGTTACATAAACAAGTGTTTTTAAGTTAAATGTATTTCTATGTATAAATATATTTCTATGTATAAATAATATGTTTTTACGTATTTATTAATATTTTATACAAAGTAACAAGCAAATTTTTAAATCTGCAATAAAAAAACAAGTAATAACAGTATTATTTTGTATATTTTTAAATTCATAAACAACAATAGTTAAAGTTATAATAACTTCAAATCTTTTCGACGATGTATCTTATAGTGAGAATAACAAATATTTTTTGATAAATTTTAAATTAACGATTAGAAACAAACAAAATTGATTTTAAGTCACGTATCTTAGTAATCAAATAAATTACAGTAAAAAGATAATTGTAATCGCATGTCAGTCAACAGAGAGAAGTCAGTAAGAGTAAAAAATAGCAATGTGTGTCAATAACATTGCAATCATTTATTACCCAGATGTCTAAAAATTAATAATACAAAAGTTGAATAACTAAAAGTTTGCGTGTAATCGTTAAAATGTAAACATAAGTCAAATTTCTATTGTACTAAGTCAAGATGAAAATTAGTCAAACATTAAAACAAAAAATAATAAATAAATAAATATATTATTCAACAAAAAGTAAATTGAATAGGTAGTAAGCGAGCAGATAAGGTGTAAGCTTCTATATTTTGAAAGTGTAGTTTAAATATATTATTATTATTATTTATTTCTTACTCTTTCTATCATTAACTTTCAGACATCTGGGAGTAAATGATTGCAATGCTATTGACACACATCGCTATTTTTTGCTTTTTACTGATTCTCTCTGGTTACTAACATGCGGTCACGATATCTTTTTATATTTATTTGATTACTAAGATACGTGAATTAAAATCGATTTGTTTGTTTCTAGTCATTAATTTAAAAACCTATTAATATCTGTTATATTCTTTATAAGATACATGGTCGGAAAGATTTTTCAATTAATTTGTACAAATTGGCTGAGGATGATCACAAAAGAGGATCGAAATGTTCTGAGCGTTTCGCTAATAAACTTAGCAGCGTTGTTTCAGTTTTTCATCACTAGCAACTGTGGACCATAGCTCACAGACCTATTTATTATTTGAGATTTTATTTGAGACTTGTTATTATTATTATTATTATCAAATATTTCAAGACAATTAACGATATTCTAAACGACTACTTCATTTATCAGAAATTAAGAACGTGTCTTGTCTTAAAGTTGGATTGGTGGAAAGGAGAATATGTCGGAACATATGTCTGCATTCTTCTACAAAAGTCAACGATTAGCCAAACGCCAATAGACGGGCGGCGTGCTTGTACACATACTTACTCCTCCACTTCGATGCCACTCTCGGTGCTGGCCGGGAGGTTCGATCTTTCAACATTATATCTATCTTTTACTACTTTTAAGGCAAATTATTATTATGGCGAATCATCTTAATGCAATCATTGCAAAATCGTCGTCATTCATGATGCCATTTTTGTGCAATATTTTCACAATTTGCCTATTGGAGTAGACGCTCGATCTATAGACGTCGACGCTGCTGAGTTACACTAAACCGAGCTTATAACGTTTAGGTATAACGTTTAGGTATAAAAAATATGTACAACATTTGTTTTTGATAAGAAATATATAAGGTTATACGAGTCGATCGCAGGATTTT